CATTCTTTTCTTAACTTGAATCTGTTGAAGATTCCTTGAGGTGATAGCTTCTTTACTTTTCCATTTCACCCATGTTCTTGGTTTATGTCCAATATCTCCAGTCACTACTGTACAGTTCATAGGCACAATTGACATTCCAGGTTATATTCACAGAAACAAGTTTAGTTAGTTTACATCCAAGTTTGATCAAAAGAAGTTCATAGTCACAATTGACATTATATGCTTACATTATAGATGGAAACTCCACTTTCTGTTTGTATATTTCCCATACCGACTTCTTGGCCTTTTATAAGGTGTCCATCTTCCTATACCAGTAGAAATAACCTATAAAAAGTGCAGATTATTAAGAAGTTAAACATAAAACAGACCTATAAAAGTGCAGTTTATAAAAGTAACTTTAGAGTAATTACCTGTTTTGTTGAACCTCTTGGTCTTCCTCTTCCTGTTCCTATTTTTGGTACACTTTGAACTGAAGGTGTTGATGAAGAACCAACACTTGTTGACTTTGCACCACCAGTTGATCTTGCAGTACCTTGTGCAACCTTGTGACAATTTTTTTATTATGGCCTTTTGCATGACAATTGTTGCAGGTCATCTGAGTACCTCTTTTGAAAATCTTTCTTGTTTTGTTTTCAGTTGGTTCCTTCCTTCTCACTTTCTTAGGCCTGCTAGACATTACTCTTACTTCTGGTGATATAACTGAAGGGTTTTGTGATTGTAGCCACATCTCCATATTTTGTACAAGCTGAATAAAGTGACTATATGTCTTCATATAAGTCTCCCTATGGTACCAATGTGCGATGTAGTTAACCAGCTCCATTTTTTTGTAATGGATAGCAGCTACATGATGAACATATGGTATACCTTTCAGCATCCAAGCTCTACAGGTGCAAGTTAGTCTGTTCAGATTTACTATATGTTTACTGGTGTGTCCTTCCTTCACTTCATAATCATATTGACTATTTCAGTGCACCACACATTTTATTGATTTCGCTGTGTTCTCCTACAACACCTTCAATGCCATTGGATAGATGTCACTGATCCAAGTATCACAAAATCTCTCATTTGTGCTATTCTTATCATCATCTTCAACCTGATCTCTTCAAGCATTGTGATGATTGTCTTGTACCTTAGCTTCAATATTCAAGAATTGAAAGTTTCAGCCATATTATTGTCAACACTGTCACAATTGCTAAAATACTTAAAATATACCTTTCACCGCCTCTCTTTGTTATAGTATAGCAGGTCATCAACTATTTATCCACTAGTTTTTCCATGTGATCAAGATATTTCTTTAACTCTTGTTCATAAGTTGACCTATCACATCCCTAAAAACAGTTCCTTCTCTCAATGCCTCTCCATTTTTGTGACCAGTTTGCTAGGATGTGCCTGACACATATCCTATGTTCTGCATGTGGCAGGATCTCACTGATTTCTTGGTCAAGTCCCTATAATATATAAATGATAAACAGTTAAAAGAATAACCTTAACAGATTTGAACAACACATTTAACAGAATATCAGTTACCTTTTGTATGTCTATAATAACTTTCAACTCTGTCCCATATCCAAGCTCAAGATCATTTTTTAAAAGGTTCACAAACTATCTCCAATTAAATGTTTTTTCAACTTCAATTACTGCCCAAGCCAACGGCAGCATATGATTATTCCCATCCTTACAAACAGCTACAAGTAATTGCCCTTTACATACACCTTTTCAAAAATAACCATCAAACCCAATACACCTCTTACAACCATCAAGGAAGGCCTTCTTTAATACATCAAAGCAAATATAAAATGCTACAAATATTTTTCTACCATCTTCATGTGTTTCTTCACTAAGTCTCACAACACATGTGCTGTCTAGATTAGTCCTTTGCAGCTCATCTCTATAGTCTAGAATTCTGTCAAACTCCTTAACATGGTCTCCCATGATATGTGTTAACATAATATTCTTGGTTTTCCTTGCAACAGTCATTGCAATATACACTTCTAACTCCTTTTGAACTAACTCCTAAACTTAAAGATTCTAATATTTGGTTCAGAAATTATTCTGTCCTTGTATCTTTCTGCTAAGTACTTTGAGTTGCACAATTTGTTCTTGCTAGTACTATTGCACTTGTAAGGTGGATTATAGTTCTTCACCATAAAATCTTTTGTCCTAGAATTATTACTAGCAAACAAGAGCCATAGATAGCCAGCACAACACTTTACCCTCACCCTTGTTGGTTCATTAACATACTTATCTAACTCTACATGTTCATCAATTGAATACTTAGTAAGTGCTTCTCCAAACGGTCTAACACTCGCAAAAGAAAGGCTAATTTCCCACACAATTAACTTACAACTAGGATCAAAGATAACCCTATTTTGCTGCTCTCTTCTTGCTCTTACTAGCTGTTGGACTTCATCTCCACCTTCATCATAATTAGTTTCATCAGGATCTATTTCAAAACTAGCAGCTTCCTGTGGGATAATATGGCTCATCTATAGCAATCTTACCCTCTAAAGATGTCTTCTTTCTAGCTGCATACTCATCATATCCTACATCTGGATCCTTTTTACCTAACTTGGCATGTCTAGTTTCAACCTCTTTCTCTTTTCTCTTCCTTCTCTGCACCATTTTCCTCTCTTCTCTTAAGCTCCTATACTCCTCATCAACATCACTACCATATTCTTCTTCCCCTTCCTCAAACAACTTTTCAATTTTTAAATCTGTACTATGGCCATTGCTTTCTACATCAGTTTCAACTAATGGAGCATCATCAAGATTAGAAGGACCACCCTCATCCCCACCAGGTACATTATCAGCAACAGAGACACTATTATGTGGTTCTTCAAACCCTCCACCTTCACTGTCCCCAAACACTTTGATTTATCTCTTTATCAAAAAACACACTAGATTTCCCACACACATGTCTTACATATTCACTAGCTGGCAGGACCACTAATGCTTCATCAACAGAGTGGGACATATACATTTCATATATATTCCCATTTTTTAATAAAGGTACAATACCCATAATATCCCTATCAGTTAAAAGTTTTACCAAAGTACTAGAATTGAGTGGTCCCACGTAAATGTTACATGTTTCACAATTATACCCATTTTCTTTCACATAATCTACAAACTCAAAATACGAAAATCTGTCAACATTAGTATCAAAGTACTCTGTCATAATACCCTCTTCGTAGTTGATAGGATATTGTTGTAACTGACCTCCATGGAACATCCTCAGTGTAACGAGCTCAAAAGCCATTTCTTCAAACTGAAATCAGTAAACAAGAAAAATATCCGTAAATATTTTTATACACTTGAAAATTGACAAGAAATTAAAGAAAACAAGAAGAACCTACAAAAGAAGCCAATGATCTTCAGTATCTACACTCTAATAGACGAGATTTGGGGGAAAATCTTCGCTAGGTTTTAAGTTCATCAGCATTTTTCTCGTTTTGTTTAGAGATAAATGAGGTTGGGTAATTCAGTCCAGGGTAAAAATTAAAAAATAGCGGATTAGGTATTTTAATCGTGTGAGTTTTAAGTAATGGACCGAATCATTAAAATGGTTTATGTTTATTAATGACGTAACATCACCAGAAAGAGCATGACTCACACTCGTTAGTCTTTAACTGGTCTGGGGTCATGAAGTAGGGGTGTCAATGGTTCGGTTCGGCCGGTTATTTTATAAAATTTGTACCATACCAATTTTCGGTTATTCTATTATGTATAAGCAAAATTAAACTTTTCGAAACCATCCCAATCATGTCGGTTTCTCTTCGGTATCGGTATGGTTCGGTTAATTTTTGGTATTTTTTTTAATATCATGTAAAATTTACCAATAGAAGTAGAATGCAATAATATACATTCTTTTAGAGGACTTAGCAAAACTCTCTAGATATTTTTACTGTTTAAAGGGTGATGAATTAAAAAAGAAAAAAGAAAGATGGCTAGAGTATAGATCCATCAACTATTCTACAACAATGTAAAAGAAATCAAACAAAGCAAAGAAAATATAAATCACACAGGTTGAAAGATATACCAAGTTGGGACTCAAGAATAAAGTCTATAGAAGATTAAATATTCAAAAAGATAAATCTAAATTATATGAAAGAAAACATATTTAATACATTATAGTTTGCTACTCATAATCGCTAGAATACTTTGTGTCTTGCTAATAGAGATACTTGAAATAAATTAGTTTAAGTAGAAGTAGCATAATAGGTTTTAGGAATTAGTATTTTGAGTTTAATTACTTGTTGGCTTGTAATAGTTTTTATAATTCCAAGGCCCAAAGAAAATTTAATGCATTATTATTTTTAAACTTACTAAATAAATATATTTTCCACATGTAAAATTTTTTCTGTACAATTCGGTATTTTTTTGATTTATTTTTATAAAATAAAAAACCTACCCTAATTATCGGTGCGGTTATAGATCTATATAAAAACCTATGGTTTCTTAAAAAGAAACCTAAAAATCGGTTTGGTGCGGTACAGTTCGGTCGGTTTAGTCGGTTTTCGAATATCCATTGACACCTCTATCATGAAGGATGGAACAAAATTCACTTGCAATATGTTTAGGAGGTAAAAGAATACCCATTTAGTTTAAGTGTTCAAACATGTTTTTTGGACAAGTTTAATCGGGGTCTTCATGTATTTTGCCTAGAATAAATGCTTTAATTTTCACAAAATAAAATGAGCTTAAATTCTAATTGTCAGATAAAGCATTTGATATTTTTTTTTTTTTTTTTT